ATTATGAGATTATTTTCTTCTCTTTTGTTAATCTGATACTCTTATAATGAAAATTATTTCTTGTTTCTTTAAATTTCTTGTTCTGTTTTTTTTTAATTTATTAGTTAATAAAAAATATGAAAGTGAAAACTATCCTCCTTTCTATCTTTCGCTCACAAATCATTATGCGAATATCCATTTACAATTATTAGAGCCTGAAAAACGCACGTCTACGACGTTATCCTTACACGATGATTTGTAGGTACTTTATTTTTTACCCCGATATTTTCGACGACGATGTTTTTAAACTGCGAAGTTTTTGAACCGCTTTATTTTCGACTACGATATTTTGTACCACGATGTTTTAGAACTGCGATGTTGTCTCTTTTCTTTATTTTCTCCCACGATGTTTTCTACCGCGACGTTTTCGCCTTGCGTTGTTTTCTCCGCCACGTTTTCGTCCGCGATGTTTTTGCCGCGATGTTTTCGGCTGTAACCGTTTTTTCTGGGATTCAAAACCAAGCAGCAGAGCAATGAGTTCTGCTATCTTTCGTACCGAACTAGGAGGTTGCACATATTGGTTTCCTTTCTTTTAATAACTGCACTAATTTTTGAAGGAATACTGTGAATTTTCTCGAATGGGAATTGAATTTAGAATGTTATTGAAAGTATTATGCATTCAATTTTAACAATATTATTTGTCTCAGACCCTATTTCTTTAATTATTGTTTTATTCATTACTAGCAGCTCCACAGCCAACCTTCCTCTAGCTTTTAAATACCTGAAGAGAACACCAAACGTTAAATTTAAAAACTGCGCAGAATAAAATAAAATAAAATAATAAAAAAAAAACCCACAAATTTAAAAAAAAATTGTACTACATATAACAAAATTACAATGAAATAAGAAGTATCCCTTTATATAAATATTAATTATCCTAATAAATAAATTAACCAACTTCTCGTTGCCTTCTCTCAACAAACGTGCAGTATCCAAGAGAAAATATTAAATTTAAAATCTGCACAGAATGATCACCCTCATTTTCCAAAGTGGCAACAGTGCTGATTTTCAACAGTCAGCAGTCCAGTAAAGAATTGAATGAAAAACTGTTGCCAAAACCACATTCCTAAAAGAATGAAACTATTCAAAATGATGCGATAAATTCGAAAAGATAGAATTAAAAAAAAAAATTTGATTCAGTGGAATTTTGAAAAAATCGCTTCGACGTGCACTGGCTCTTGTCTAGATGCACCTGTATACCAAATTTCGTACCCCTGGGTCTATAAGCTTACGCGCAGCACGAACAAAAGACACACAGACTCTTTCTTTTATTATATGTAGAGATTATTCTGTTAATTTTGTTCAACATTCTAGACGGCTTCTGCTCTTTTAATTTTAGAAGCAAGCTAAGAGTATGGTTGTTTAAATGATTTACTTTAATATATATATCCGAAAGAAAACTGGACTTAAATTACGAAGCATTAAATATAAACTCTCTAAAGGAACAGTACATAGTAAACAGATTATCATTTTCCTTTCCTTTTAATGTGCATGATAAATAGATGGCAGAAGGCATGAAAAGGGCACGATAAGAGTAGAAGATGTAATGTTCTTCAGGGAGATACCAAATTTTGGTAATTTGCTCTTCATTTTCTCCTTTACCATACGCGCTGCACATGTTTTAAACCTTATCTTGTTAACTTTGAAGAAGGAAAAAACAAAATTCAAACTTAGAAGTATAGTTTCTGCTTAGTGCATATCGGTTTCTGAATATCATGAAGTCAAAATATCGAGGATTGTCTATGTAGATTTGTTTAGTATAATAAAATGATAATAAATGCAAATATTTTTAAGTAATTGCTAATAGTAATTAATTTTACTAAAAATTTTACTTGAATGTTTAGTCTTCATTGAAATTTTTTGAATTCTGAATTATCGTAAATTTGAATATTCATAGTCATCAATTAAAATTTTTCAGAACTGTGGTAGCGTAAATCGTATGTCTAATATTCAAACACTTTTACCTATTTAAGACGTAAAATGGAACCTCTGTATATGTCACTAATCCGTTCCAGATCCTTGCATATATACCAGACTGGATGTATACCAAACAAAATTTTCCGATAAGATATAAAGTCCAAATAAATAAATAAATAAAATGATAAGAAATAAATTCCTTCTTATAAAAAATCCTATTGTTATTATTATAACATTTTCATAATAAAATACGAATGCAGAGGATAAAATGTATACTGTATATAATTGAAGTACTCAGTGGACATGATACTGCGCATTAAAGTTTTTCTGCTAATCAGATCAAAAGCAATTTTTCAGTACGCTCTATTGTCTCTGATCCTTTTTAGTTTCACACTCTTCGTAACATTGGCCGATTTAAAAGCATCTTTGTTTTTTCTCTTCCGTAGACACCATTATGCATTAGCCAAGTTCAGGATATGCATGTTATCTTCCTATTTTTCAATAATGCTCTTCTTTTTTTCAACAATATTCATGTTGGTCTTTTGTTAGTCACTTTGGAGATGATCCAGTTTTCTTCGTTGTTTTACTTTTCTCATTAAGTTTCCTAAAACTCGTTGTTAATGAATTTGTAAAAAACATTACACGAGGAAAACGCAAAATCACTTGAAAATTAAGAGTTGTAGTGTGGGTTGTTTACTGAATAATAAGAACAGGCGTATAAACATTCAAGGGCTGTAGCATTGTATCGAAAAAGGTAAACAAAAGGTGCGTGTAGTCGAGACTTACCGAACTCAAGTCGTATTCGAAACACACATTTTCGTGTCTCTAAAAGGCCGTATACCAAATTTGGATGCATTTAAAGCAGACGTATGCCGAGGCCCCACTGCGTATTATAATTTTTGTAAGTATAGATAAGAAACGAAAATAATTATTATGTCCTTACTTCACTTAAAAAATAAGATAAAATAATCTGTTGTTCGTGTGGAGCTTCTGAAGCTTTTTTAACGTAAGGGCATTCCTTTTCTTTAAGGAAAATGGGGAAAAGAAATGGAATGTAGATGGTACATGTACTCATATTATGGTCGACCAGTTTATCACATTAAATCCGAGATTCCTCGGTGTCAAATCGCTTTAACTTATAGATAATTTCCGGAGCTATCCGGAATATAGTTAGCCAAAATTAGGAGAATCCAAATATAGTTAGTCTTCAGTTAGTTGAATTAATAGTCTTCGAACGGCTTGGGATTGGGTGAAAGCAGGAAACATTGCAACGTTCGTTTTCAATGCAATCACTCGTCGTTCTGTTTCAGTGTAAAGTAGTGACAGAAAAACATGATACGATTTGCTTTTTAAAACTGTACTCTCTCCTCTGCCATTCTTCATCTCGCGGAGCTCGCTTACGCATTTCTGAGTGCTCAGAAATTCGCATACGTCAGTTATTGCTATAGACTCGTACGTGTGACATCTGTTGGCGGGGCAAAAGAACTCACGACGGTTCTTGCTATTGCAGGGAAACTGTAGCAAAGCCCTTAAATAAAATCAGATTACAAACTTGTATGGCTATGAAAGGGCGTTCGCATGATGGTTTAACAGCTACAAATGGCAAAAGCAGAACTTCGTTGGTAGGCAGCTAAACTTATCTTAGTCACAGAAACTCATACAAGGATTCTGGCAAAATGTTCTGACTATTCAACTTTATGTCAGCATGGCAAGTACAGGTAGAAATAGGCGGGATACCAAAAATTCACTATTGCAGTCTGAGAGTCATTCCTCTTCTCCTACCATCAACCTGTGGACAGGACTTTCAGCTCACCGTGTATTTTGAATGCGCACTTGCCTGACAGACGCTTTATGCTTATAAACATCCATGCCTTCTCCGAGATTCGACCCCGAGCCCATTGGTACGGCGGTCAGCGTCACTAATCATTACACTGGCTGAGCGGCACGCCACGATGGCATAAGAGCCTACCAGTCATAACGAAGCAAGCAAGCTGAAGACCTGTAGAAACTTTCATGTATAAAAAAATGTATTTCCTATGATAGGATATTACTGTACTTTGTTGTCTACACTGTTGCTCAAATGTAACTGAAACTATTGACTTTCATCCTTATGACTATGACAATTGTGATATTCAATCCTTCGGCTCCTTGGTTGCATTTTTTGTCTGACCCATTATCAAACAGCAAGCCACAGTTCACGGGTTCAGGGACTATTGTTTTAGTTTTGCGATTTTGTGTCGAATCACTCTGAATGTCCGTTTTACTTTTCAAACTGTTGCCACCGAATAGTACCGTCCTGTATTATATTTGGAGAAATTAAATAATGAAGAATCTGCATAAATGTATGTATGTTTTTCGAATTGTGATAAAGCAACGGTACCTAGAGACATCCAATTTTGAATGGCGTAATCCTACTTCAAATAAGGACATCTGGAAGCCGAAATTTGGAATTTGTTTTATTATCGATTTCATATTTTGTAAAACTTTAACGAATTTCTGATTAACAAACTCAAGGATTTCAAAGCAAGCAATGGCAACGTTATAAAAAAAAAAAAAAAAAAAAAAAAAAAAATTATCACCAGGCGCGCGCGAATTTCTGTATGGGAAATCTAAAGATATGCTCATTTTAAAATTATTTTGCGACATTGCTGTTCAACTGAGTTTTATGGTTTAAGTGCAAAGAACATGATACTTAATAAATAAAGGTAACACATAAAACGTTGAAAAAAAAAAAAAAAAAAAAAAAAAAACGCCACTTTGGACGTAATTTAAAATTTGAAACCTTTCAGATTTTTTTTAACATATTGTGCCTTTTTTTTTTTTTTTTTTTTTTTTTTTTTTTTTCGTTAGAAAAAGTTTTTGTATAGCTGTTAATAAGAAACCTTTTTTTTTGAATAATTTTTCAGCTTTATATTTAGTAATTTTTTAGTTTGTTATCCATTTTATATTTTTCTTTTTGCTGTTACGTTCGGTATAATCACAAAAATAGTAAACAATATGCCAATTTGAACAAGACCAAATTTTAATGTGTATTTATGTTTCAGCATGCACCATACTGGTTGGTCTCATCGAACAAGTGGCAGTTGTCAACAACAAGACAGTCACAGATATGGTTTCTGAATTATGTAATTTCTTACCAGGAGAATACACCATTCTCTGCGATATCTTAGTGCATCTCTGGGGTCCAGCTATAATTGAAAAGTTAGTCACTTTTTTAAAACCTCAAATTTTATTATATATATTAATGTCTAATTTTTTAAATTTTAATTATAGAAACATACTTTTGTATTTTGTATTATCATGTATATGGAATTATACAATTTCTTTGTCTTTAATAACCCCCTAAATGAATTCTTCAAAATAAACTTCCTTTTACTGTTTTAAAGTTACTTTAAAAGACCACAAAATGAGAAATATGTTTGTTGCTGCAAGAGTTTTTAAAATTGATTTCTTAATCATAACATTATTGCAAGCATTCTTTCATCACTGTGTAGAGAGACATTAGGTTATTTCGAAGCAGGAGACATGAAGAATGAGCAATGCCCTTGCCAAGACTTGAACCACGCACCTCTCGAATACGCGCCTAGTGTGCTGACCAATACACCACGAAGGTATGCTAAGAAGCCGGGACAAATATCTTATAACTGATATGCTAAATATCATCCAAGGAAAATGATACATAAGACTCGATAATTATGCTTAGAAAAGCGTATTATACTTTATTGAAATGATACACCAACATTAAATCTTTAAAATGTATGCAAGGGAGAGAGTGGGATGTTAAGAAATAAAATTTAAAGTACCCAAGCTTTATATATTAAACTACTATTTAAATTTATATATTAAATTATGGTAAAATTGTGCTATTTAAAAATTTATTAGTTATAGCAACTCCTTTAAAAAGGATTATCTGAGTTGAGTTGCTAAAGATAGGGTCTCAAAGTAGTGTATAAAAGGTATTAGAAATATAACTTATTTTAAAATAAAGCAATGTTTTTGAGTAATTAATTTCATAGTCAAGCTTTCACTGTTAATAATTCCAAACTTCCTTTGTATTTTTTACATAACATAAACCAAAAGAAGAAGAAAAGACAATCATAAGCGATATGCCTGAAGCGTCTCTGGAATTCATTAGATTTACTTAGATAATGGGTTCAGCTTTCCAAAGATTATTTCAAGCGTGTTGCTGGTATGACTTTTTATTCAATAGTGAAACAGGTGTAGATAACTACTGATAATGTTTTTACTTCATCTAAAAAATATATAATATTCTGAAGACAAAAATTATGTTTACGAGATATAAAATTATATACTATAAAGAACCCCCCCAAATTACACAAATTAGCAAGTTAAATAATTAGCAAAGGATGTTACATGATAGCTTTTATCAACTTTTTTCAATTTCAAATTGTGTACTTCTTAAACATAAAATTCAACACTTATCCTGTTTAATACTTTATATAGCTAAATTCCATTATTAACAAATAATTCACAGTATAAGTTGTAAAAAATAAAATATCATTATGTAATAAATAAATTATTATTGATGAAATATTAAATATTGTTTATTAATGAATCAACCTTATGTTTAAAATATACCAAAAATCACATATTATAATGTCAAGTTGTAGTGATATTAGAGGATATTTTTGAAGCAAAAGAAGTGAAAAATGAGCAATGCCCTCGCCGGGACTCCAACCACAGACCTCTCGAACTCGCGTTGAGCGTGCTGATCACTACACCACGAAGGCATGCTAAGAAGGCTGGAGAAATATTTATAAAGTTTGCTGATTTGTGGATGAAGTTACACTATCTGAGATTTTTTGGTTCCCTTACCTTCCCTGTTATTCCAAGTCGTCATCCCTAACTAAGAGGTCGAGAAGTAACTGCGGCTAGTACAAATTTAAGGATGGCAAGCGAAATTGCAACAGAAGGGAAACAAAAGCAGTAACGATCAGCCTGTGCTGCACGGCGCTATTTCTGTCTGAAAAACAGAAATTAGAATCTTTTTTATACTTTAAGCCAAAAGCGTGCCTGGATGTTTTTTCAGCTGAAGAAAAGAACTATATCCCCCCCCCCAGTTGGAACGATTTGTTATAATTCTTCCGCAACAAAATTCAGAATTTTGAATTCACTTGTTTATTTCTTTGATAATAAACAATTCGTTTTATTATTTTATTGTAAACAATAAACCCCTCAAAAAAGGTCTCCCATTATCTTATCTCTCTCTTTACATTCCGGGCTTAATGGCAAATGAAACTACAGGGCCCGATGCTTTTAATTCATCCATATAGCTTTTACAAGAATATCTGCAATTAAAACCACCTACATAGCTGGCGGAGATTAAATGTCGATACTGTTCAGATAGTTTTTGATTATGAACTTAGAAAAGGTAGCGGTACCAAAAACTTTTAAATTGTGAAATAATTGTATTAGTTTATTACTTACTGCAAGGGAGGGTAAGAAAAGGCAGCAAAGGTAATATACGGTAAAGAATAATTTTATGTGCCTAATAAAGAAATTTACCTCGGATACCGATGTACACTGTTGGGGAAAAATTTTAAATAAATAAAAATTAAAATTTAAAAAAATGATGCAACTCTACAGCTCCCGTACTACTGGGCCAATTAACGAAATTCAAATTGCGTTTTTTATGCCTCGACTTAGGATATACATTAGATTAATATATAGCATCATTCTAACATACGTATTTTGACACAAAATCGGACTTTTTCTGAAATGACATGCCAATTTTTTTCCATATTACTATTCTACGATTCAAATTATGCTGTATATTAAATTTTGTAAAATTCGGTGCAAAATTTACGGGGAAATTCGAAAGTTTATCTTGGCGTATTTTTTTCAGTTTTCGCCAAGAATAATTTACTCGGCAAACTTCTTAATTTATAGCAACTTATTTTCCTTTTCTTTTTTTCATTGTAAACAAGCGAACAAAATATTTTGTGGATATTTGTGGGATATTGTTCATACTGTCAAATAATTTTACCAGAGTAAACCACATTTGGCATTATTATCCCTTCCCATTCCCCACCCCCCCAAAAAAAAACGATGCCAAATTGCAAAACGCTTTAATATGTAAATTAATGTATATCAGAAAATTTTGAATAAAAAACTAATTTTTTGCAGGTGGGCCTAGAAATACATGTACTTTAAGACGATGTTAAAAATTTTATAGGTTATAATACAAAAGTTTTTCGAAAAATTTATAAAACAATATTTACAAATTTAAAAAATAAATCATAAAAAATGGGCGAATTACATTTGGATTAAGCCTAAATTTCGAAGTTCTGGAAAAAGGAATTAAGTAAGTTTAAAAAAGAGATATTAATAAATATATATCAAATTCAATTAACATCGAGGAGCCAAAATTTTGAGAGCTAATTTTTTAAAAACTACTCGTGTCATTTTTACAAAAGTTGGCAGTTTGGCATAATTTGAGTCGTAAAATCGAAATATGGAAAAAATTGCCATGTCACTTCAGATAAAGTTCGATTTTGTATCAAAATACATATATTAGAATACTGCTATATATAAATCTAATACATATCCTAAGTCGCGCTTTTTCGTCAATCGGCCTAGTAGAATGGGAGATAAAAACCATCCCATTTTTTTTTTCCGCAGTGTACATTGCGGTGTAGTGCAATAACCACCTTTAAGAATTACATAGATTAACCTTTATTAACGTATAAATTCCGAATAAAATAATGACCGCACTTACTGTTTTACGGCCACGCCAATAGTAACACAACTAGATCTGGGAAATAATTATTCATTTAGTAGCAACGCTTAAGGAAATAGATCCTTTTAATCACGTGAATTAGCACCAAACAGAAAAACAAAACACTATTATATTTTATTATATTTTAATAGTTTATGTAAGTTCGAAGTCAACGAAGTATTGCATAGAGGATTAAATCCATTTTCATACTAAAAAATTTTTAACACAAAATTTTGCTTGAGATAAAACTTAGATGAGGAATTCGTTGAAGTAACACCGGTCATTTATCACACAGTAAAAAGTTCTTTTTTTTTTACCTAGGAATGGCTATAACTCAGAATCACGTGGCATGTAAAAAGTAAAATAGCGGCAGATAAATAAGGTCGAGTTTCGAATACCCGGTTTCCCGTGCTGAAAACATTCGTTTCTTTGGCTGAAGAATATACTCGAAGACAATAATGCATACTACTTGAAACGACTGCTTTAATTTACAAACATACAAGTATTCTCACACTTGTATGTTTATTTTTGTTTTAAAACGTTATATCATTTTTAAAATATGTAAAACTGTTTATATAATTTGGTACTGCGTTACTGAAAAAACGATAAATTACTAAAAACCGCAAACTATAAATTACATGCTACTGTCCCCTTTCACAAATAAAAATTCTGTAACTTGATAATGAATCTATAAATTACCAATTCCTGTTCTATGTTTAATATCTATGTTTTTACCGAAACTATGGCTTCTTTCTCTTTATTTACAAAGAACTCAATTGTTAATATTTGTTACAGGCTGAGTCGAAAAGAATCTGCTGACATTATATGCTACAGTTTAGGTATTTGCCATGTGGACCGAGGATTGGATTACTGTCATCTCTTTCCAGAGCCTCCAGTGAGTATATTGTAATTACGATGTATGGAAATCAACCCGAAATATACTACTGTTCTTAAAAACAGTACACCTATCAGGTATATATTTACAAATTTTATTTTTGTGGGATATGTAAAGCAATTAATATACAAAACAAATTATTAGCATTTCGAAACAAGATGCATGATTTACGTTGATACAGTCTGTATTCCATGTGCCTACTTCTGGATAGTATTGTTTGCTGTATACGTCATGACACTGAACAAAATAAAGTTTTAATTGTGTGTTACGGAATAACTGTCCAAGCTGTATCACTCCGCGTCCAAAATTCATCAGAATTTTCTGAAAGACTGTCATAAAACATCACATATCGTTTGATCATATCCCACACATTTGCGACAGGTGGTAAGCCAGGTGATCTACGCTGCCAAGAAAGTGAAACATTATTAATTCTGAAGAAGGCTTCTTGTTTTGTTGTAGCATGAGGATTATTAATATTCTGCAGAGAAATTACGATGGGAAAACGTTGCAAGTACAGAAGTGCGACTAGAACGCAGAATGTACCTGACATATTTTTATTATGCTGGATTATTCATTATGCTGGATAGAACTTTTGTGGGAAGTGATCTGTTATCTAATATAATAAAACCTATTTCAAGAATACACACCGTGCTGTCGCGGTATGACGAATACGAATATAATCTTTTATATTCTCTCACCTCTACGGAGGAAAGTACATATGAGTCCATTTCGCCTAAGCAAAACTATCATTCATCTGAGAAGACGATGTTGTCCACACATGATGTTTGATGCACCGTGGGAGTCTGATAGTACTTTGCTAAAACGTCAACGGTATCCTGAGAAGAAAGAGATTGATGCCCTGGTAATCTATAGCCTTCTTCTCTTTGAATTCTACACCCAACTTCGAGCCTGCCTTTGGCTACTCTTTCACTGACAGAAACACACTGTTCTCCTCTCTGCAGTATCGAGGAGAGGGAATATGCGCTGTCCTCTTATGTCCTCTTATGTCAAATAGTGCATCTTCTGTTAAACTGTCATGTGGTTATAAGGTTGTCCTACATGACGTAAAAACATCCTTACTCGCTGCTGAATAAGGATTAAAGTTTCCACCTAGGAACAACATTTTTATAAATTAGTCAAGGCTTATTTATTTATGAATATATTTTAAAGCCTTAAAATTTTGGACTAATCAGTCTTCAATGCTAATAACTTTTTTGAATTGCTTGTTATATGTATAAAAAATAAAAGCTGCAATTACATGCTTTTTAGGTGTCTTGTCTTTTAAGAATAATAATGTAATTCTAATTCTAATGTCGATAGTTAAGCTGAAAGGTACTGAAGAATAAGGCAAATCAACGCTATTATTTCAGAAGATTAAAGAATACATAAGAAGATGTTGCAAATACTTTCATTACAAAAGTTTTCCAATGAAAACTATCTAAAATATATATTCTGAAGTATAAAATTTCGCTGAATTTTTTTATATTAGCATATATAATATTCAATAGAAAATTAAATATTTTAGACTCCATAAATATTCCTGGAGTTCAAAAGAACTCATTTCGAATATCTTCTGTTGGTGGCAGTATCAGTCATATGCGAACAAGCATATTGATATATTAAGCATTCGCATACCGCACGAGCTTTGAATTAAGTATAGAAATGAAACACAGAAAAAGCGTAAAAATAATAAAATAATAAACGTTTAAACTTTTCTTAAATGCTCGAAGATACGCAAGCAAGCTCATCTCTCGCGAACTCTACCATTATCTTAAAAATGCTATAAATGACTGCATTACTGCATATACTGTAAGAATTATTTAATATAATGTTAGCTTTATAGGACTGCCTCCCACTTCTTGCCGCTCATTAGCAGATAAATACTGGCGTATTGTTGATATTGTTTGATTCCTGCAAGATATCATATAGTTAGAGTGATCCATCAGAATACGTTTTGCTTTATCCGCTCCATAGACTCAATATTCCATTAGCAGACTGTCACACATTTTCAGCCGCTGAGCTCATTGCTGACAGAAAGCCTTTATCGATGAAGTCGAGATGAATAGATATGTGGCAGATTTTTCATCATTTGAGAAAACTTTGTTCTAAGGGAAAGCTATCTGAAACCTGCGAGAAATTTTTTGATACAGATGGATCCTTATACTCCTAAAGGCATCCAGAGAACTCTCGCAATAGTATAATTGTATAACTTCTTAACCCTTAGCCTGTCGAGTGATTTTCTGCGAATGCCTTTAAAACTGTCGCTAGTTTTGGACCGAACTTCCCGTAAAATGTCGCGAAAATAACCCTAAACCTCTGAAAATTGTCAAGCAGTTCTTTTGTTATTTCTCATCCCTCCCAGAATTTTACTTCAGTGATTCCACTTAAGTGAGATTGATTGCTACTAGATATTGTTCCGGTAGATGTGAGCTCTCAAGAGAATTGCAAAAGTCTAGACTCTCCGTTGATGATCCATCTTAATGGCGCAGGTATAGCTGCGAAACTTGAAAGTTCCCTTCCCTTAAACAATCTTATCTCTACATATCTTCTCTACATATAATAAAAGAGAAGAGTCTGTGTGTGTGCGCCTTTCGTTCGCGCTGCGCGTAGCTAATAGACCCACGGCTACGAAATTTGGTACATAGGTACATCTACACAAGAGCCAGTGCACTTCGAAGCGATTTTTTCGAAAGTCGAATTCGAATTTTTTTTTATTTCATGTTTTGTGACGAATCGTGTCATTTTGAAACATAATGGGCTATAGGAAGCGAGATTTTACTCTACACACTCCATTTTCACATCGTCATGAAACGTAGGCACTTAGCTATTTTACGAACTTAAAATAAATTTCGTGTTTCAATAAATCGATTAAATACGAATTTATTTAACAAAGGGAGCTTAACACTTTTTCAATGGAATTTTTTCGAAAAAAGTTTATTTTTAAAAATGTACAGTTTATTTTTCTTTGATATTTGTACACGTTAAACTTTCATCCTTGCGAATGCTTTTACAAAAAGAATTTTGGAAAAATGATAATTTATTTTGTATTTTTAAAAGATTTTTTAAATGAAGCTTCCGAGTACATTTCTCACATCTCACATCTTTAAAAATGTGATTTTGGCAACAATTTTACTGTCTTATTGTTGTTGATAGATTTTTGATGAAATCGCATCATTTTGAATAGTTTCATTCTTTTAGAAATATGGGTTTGGCAACAATTTTTCATCGTATTTCTTATGTCACTGTTTTTAAGAGATTGGCATATTTCATTGTCATTTTTATATAAATATAATATATTTTTATTGATTTTTTTTGATAAAGTTGTTCCGTGGAGTAAATTCTGCGCGGAATTTTATGTTTTGAGTTGAGTTGCTTTCATGTTATTTTTTGCTTATTTCACTGTTTCTGTTTATAAGATATTGAAAAGTTTTGCATGATTTTTGTTCTTCTACGGAAAGTTGGTTAATTTTTTAATTAGGATAATTCATATTTGTATTAAGAGATATAGCTTATTTCATTGTAATTTTTTCCCTTGAAAACATAAGATAAAATATCATTAATTATACTTTGCTTTTCAGATTTTTTTGTTTTTTGCATTCCTTTATTTTATTTATTGCTCATTTCACTGTTTTTAAGATATTGAAAAGTTTTGACTGATTTTTTTAGGAAACAAAGTTCTTAACCTCCTTTATACCATTTGAGTTCTTAAGATTTTGCAAAGGGAATTTGCTTAATTTATTTATTAGGATAATTAATATTTGTATTAAGGGACATTGCTTATTTCATTGTAATTTTGTTATACGTAATAACTTTTTTTATGAAGTTGTTCTGCAGAGTAAAATCCTACGCAGTTTTTTAAATTTAACGTTTGGTGTTCCCTTCAGCCATTTTTCCGGTACATTTAAAAGCCAGACGAAGGCTCGCAGCGAAGCTGTTAATTTTCAAATAAATTGGTTTTAAAATTTACCCGGTTACATTTTAAATTATTACGCATTTTTAACCTAAGTAACCTAAATCTGTATGTGACTGATTATCACCTGAATTTCAATGCAGACTGATTAAACTGCTATCACTAAAATTATATTCTGACAAATATCTGGTGCAATTTTCATTCCTTCTGAGATATTGTTGAAACATTTCGTATTATTTCCGATTTTCTGTATTTTTGTCATTAATTAAAAATCTTTAAAACCTTCATCATTTTCCTATATTCTTCAACTGCAGGCAACTAATAATTATTTTAAATAATTTCTTTTTTCCTTAATTATTACGTAGTTTTTAAGAGAGTAATAAACGAAATATTTGGGTGTTTTTTAAGGGTGATAATATTAATATTAAATTTGCATTTTACTTTTTCATATACATTCAAGATATTCAGAAAGGGAATTATAACATGAAACCGTTTTCAGTGTATCATAAATTTATTGATTCAAATTAAAAATTCTTGCTTTCCTGTCCAAGAAACACTAGTAAATTTTATCTGAAATAGGAAAGATGAGACATATTAATAACAAACAAAGCAATTAATTTGGAAGTCAAAGAACAAAAATCAGCGTTGCGTTGTATTTTCAAATTTTCACAGGACTAGTTCATGGTTTTACCGAAATTCTTTAAACGCAATGACGAATAATAAGAAATAATTGAAATTTAAATATAACGGACTGTTTTTCCATTATTTTTCCGTGTTGTTCTTAATACCATGCTGCTTAAAATTTATGGTTGCATCAGTTTCTATTTACAATAAAATTAATGTAAAATTCCTTACCTGCTGCATCTTCAGTGTTCTCGACGCCAGGCTTCTAATAATCACGTTTTCCAGTAAGAGTTTCTATTACAATTAGCAGGCCATCTTGTCTTTTAATTATTTATTGAATAAAAAGCTAATATACACTATTTACAAGGTAGGTGATAATTATTTTAAGACAGTACATTTTTAGTTCTGAGTCTTTACGCTCCTCAGAGCGGTTCCAATCTCGACTGCTTCTCGGAACTTAATTACAGCAAAAGTAAAGGAAGAGATGCCCGCCACCTAGTGGCAAGAATGTGACATCCTCCCACCTTTTGATTTTACCTCGATAAGATGGGAAAATCAAAACAAAATTTATCAATAATCAAAAACAAAAATTCAAGTACAACTTTCACAAATATGAAAAGTAACTAATGCTCTAAAATTAATACTTACAAAGAAGGATTACACATCTAAACATTTTCTGCATTACATTCATACCATATCCAGATAACATGTTCCAATTGACTACTGTTAGGACAATTAAATTTCTAAAATACTGAAAAGAAACAAAAATTAGTATAGCAATTTAAAAATATGTAAGAGGTTTTACAGTTTTACGTCCATATCTAGTTTGATAGTTCATATCACTGTCACACTTATCCGCAGAGTTTTTTATGTTCATGGTGAAGTCACTAAACAAGTTAGGTCTATCAAGTTCGAGAGGATAAATACGTTTCACAGGTCTTAGGAGTTCACCCGTTGCAGTTTTCACTTTGACAACACGTACTTCGTTGTCTTTCCCAGGATATAGTTCTACAACACGACCTATTGGCCAATCTATTCTCTTCTTGTTGTCGCTGCCGACAAACACCAAGTCATTTTTGTTGATAGTCCGAGTAGATAGATCGTTTAGATGGTTTTTGCACTAGGATAGCTAAATATTCATCACGAAATCTTTTGCGGAAATGTTCTCTTAAGTTCTGCAAGAACTTGTATCTTTTTGTCAGATTGATGGTATCCAGGTAGTCTAAGTCTGGTACTCCGACGTCGTGCACATCTTGTAGAAACATTGAAGGAGTTAGTGCCGTAAGATCATTTGGATCTTCTGAAAGGTACGTAAGGGGTCTTGAGTTGAATCACTGATTCGATATCACAAAGTATAGTCAACATTTCCTCGTAAGAGACACAGGACTTGCCGAGAACATTTCTCAACATCTTCTTCACTGTTTGTACCAACCTCTCCCACCAACCGCCCCACCATGAAGCAGTTGGGGGATTAAACTTCCACTGTATTCTCATACTAGTTGAATTACATTCTATTTCTTTCCAATCTATCGATCTTAAAAGATTTTCAGTTCCAACGAAATTAGTGCCATTGTCGCTGTAAATAATACTTGGACGACCTCTTCTGGCAATAAATCTCCTTAATCCCAAGATGAACGCATTTGTTGATAAACTTTCTATCAGTTCAAGATGTATCGCGCGATAGACCGCGCAAGTAAAGAGCAAGATCCATGCCTTTTTTCCTTTTCGT